CTTATTTTCGCGCATAATTCATCTTACGTAACTTCTCGTTCACCGCGTTTTATTTTCATTCATCCGTCATCCGTGTCAGCCATAATGCGTTAGCATAATTACCACCACCGCTCTCTACGTTTTTTCCATAAATTTTGGAGCAAAATCAGATCGTACATCGTAATACTGAATAATATAAATTGCATCATGGAAGGATTCGCAATTTATCTTTATTTTTATTAATGCGAAAATAACAGATATAGCTTTCCTAATATTTAAAATACAATCCACGATTATAATTAGCAAACTATATTTTTTAAATCTCTCTCCCTCTCTCTATAAAATTCTTGAAATAATTAACAAGGATTATTAAATTACGCTAAAATTGTATTAATAACATTAAAATTAAAATAAATTAAAATCCAATTAAAATCAGAAAAAAACATTTTTCAAAATTAATTCAGACTGCAAAAACTTGATATTTTATACAAAAAATCTTTTCCATCGAGCATTGTTCTTTCATTTTTTTCAGCATCGTTCTTTCTCGTATTCGCGCTAGTAAAATCAGCAAAAATATTTTAAAGTCGGCATAAACTCCTACGAGTTCTATTAGGCTATTGTAATAAACAGGGTTTCCGCGATCGTTCTGTTCGTCGTGGCGCCTGGCCAAAACTATCAGTTTTCGCAATGCCGCAAGACGAATCGCGAAGTCGGCCACGATCCACGGTCCGATGGTATTCGCGCAATCCGACTAAAGTGGTCTGTTCTCTTTATTTCCGCTTCAACGCATTCCGACCAACCACCGGTCGCATTGTATAAGTGGAAATAATGTTTGCTCGCGTGTGCGACGTCGTCAACATGACCCTTGCAATTCATCGATATTCCAGACAGTCTCAGCTTTCTTGAGATTCCCTTAGCTAACGGTATACGTACTGCAACCTCCGCGTTGCAATTCACATTACAGTAGCTTCTCTCTTGTGCGAGGCTCTCTCGATACTATAAGCTTCCGTTGTCGTATTTGCCATGGATGCTTGGATAACCGATCAAATAGCGCAACTTGATCGCGACGCCGTTAATTAACGCAAAAAATATTCCGACATTCGACTTATTTTATTTCAGCTGTGTATAACACATCAATCTTCGATAAAAATATTTAAAAACCAGATATAAATATTAAAATATTTTTATTGAAGATTGATGTGCTATACACAGCTGAAATAAAATAAGTCGAATGCCGAAATATTTTTTTGCAATAAATATTATTAGCTGATTTTCATGTACAAATTTAATGCGATCTTTGTATTAAACGAATAATACTAAAAGCACACTGCCACATTTAGTGTTAAATGTATCGTGAAAGTAGCGTAGCCTGAAAAACTAGAAAGTTTTTCCCTTACGAAAATCTTTTTCCGAACATATGGAATTGAATTCAACCGAAACGATAACGGAAACGATTCGATACGCTCCGTTGCGGAACAAAGTAAACCGAGATAAAACACCGCTTAAAAAAATCTACTTTAATATTTTATGGTAGTTCGAAATGAATTGGGTTCTCAAATAACCGCAGCTGGCGAACTGTTTTAGAGGTTTCAAATGTTTTCATTACGCTTTTTTTTATCTGTAACAGTCGAAAATTGTTTTCCTAAGACTCCCTCAAATAGTGCTCACTCAGAGAAGCGATAGAAAAAACGAACGAATCTTTGATGGTTGTAAATCCAGCAACGATTCCGGCGCATTTATTGACATAAATTGATATTATGAAATATCTTCCACTTTAATAGCGCCTGTTAGACTATCGATCGTATCGTACTGTACACGAACGAGCGAGCGAATATGGAAATTAAATTGCCATCTAGAATACATTGCAACGATCATAGAAATTTCTACGATGGCTTCTCGCCAACCGTGTTCCCAGTGTCGCAAAATTAATTTCGCACCGGCGGCTTAATGCCGTTCGTAACTAGCAAGGCCTCGAGAGATTCTCTTTGTGCCCGAGGCCCGACGACGCAGAAATAACCGGTGTTATCCCAGCCCTTGAGTCACACCGAAGTGGCATGATTCTTAAGAACGATCTTAGTCATTCATCAGAAGAAGAGAGCGAAGGGAGAGGAGCGACGCATTTTTCGACTAATGTCGCACAGTGCAGGAAGAAGCTACATGCGACTTCCCTCCGCCGCGCCTAGTCGCGTTCCTCTTTATTTTGAGGAGAACCGTCGAACTGTAACAGCTGTTTCGCCGCGCGACGCGTCCGCGGTGACGTCACCAATCTCACACGACGAAAGCAGATCTAATACAACTGCAACCGTTGACAACGCAACGCACTCATTTCGCTGGCTCTCGACATCGCGGTTTTTCCCGTGTCTCTATTTCGTTAATTAACTGCTTGTACGCGGAACTTTCGCGTTGAATTACAAGGAAGTCGAGCATATTTTTAATTAGGGTTGAAACGCGAACTACGCTCGCTGCACCGCCGCAGTTGCATTTACTTTGTCCGCAGCGTTATCAACCGGAGCAGCGTATATCTCATGGCAGAGTTAACACGCAGGAAATTCCCGCTATTAGTAAAGAATGAATATCGGAAAATAATACGACTTTGTAAAAGCTTGGAATGTAATGAGAAATAAATTACATTATAATCAAATTAATAATCGTTGTATAAAATAGGACAGAACCGAGTAAATCAGGCGAGGAAAAGAGCAAAAATCCACCTTTATATCGCATATATTATAAGTTTCTGGACTTCGTATATGTGTTATACGACGCTACTATGAAACTGAACTCTCCATATTATCGGGGAGCGTACCTGTCCGGGTGATCTGAGTCGTAATGAAGCTGCAGTCACCGTACTCCAACAAGATCGTCTGACACAGCTGCTCCCATACTCTTGTCATCGCGATCTATCTCGTCGATTACCTTACTTCGCTTGATATTTACATTAATTTTGCATACTCGACGTAAAACAATACGGGGAATATCTTTTGTCTTTCTTTGTCCAATGATAAGCATTCAAGGGTAACTCGCCTGTTGAAATCCAATCGTGATTTATGTATATCGATCGCGATGAGACGGCAAAACAAGAAAACGAAGAACGAACCGAAGTTTCCGGTTACTGTAATGTAACCGAGATACGCTATACGAAAGTCGAACCGCGCGCATTACTCGACGCGACGAATGCGAACAGTAGAATGACTCATCGGCGTTCTAATGAACTCTTGAAATGATTTTCCGGTGCTTTGAAGGAACCAGCATGGCTTGGGCGCCGCATTATGTCTGTAGAGTTTTTTCGCGTGGACCGTGAAGTCAAACGTAAAAATAAACCGCGATACATGGAAAAATAATTTTCTGCGAAAGATAAACATCGTATATTGGAACCTGGAAGAAATCCAAACAGGAAAAGAGTAATAATTTTGTCTCTTTCAAGTATTCGATAACTTGCAGAAATTTAGAATTAGAAACAGGCTACCTGTGAAAATCATTATTTATTAACAAACATAAAATAACTAATTTATATCGTTTTCAAAAATATCATAAATATTTTGTCAATAACGCGCTTATGAATTTTTACAATTTTATTAACTGTGATAAAATCAACTGTGACAAATGAAATGTTTTTAATGAAAATATAATTTTGAAAGTGGAGCACTCATTTTTAATATCACAAAGTTTTTTAACAAACTAATAAGTATTAGTCAAGAATAAAGAAAAATTAATTAGTTAATGCTCGCACAAAGTGATGTGTACAAAATAATTTTATCGTTGAATGTTTGCATTTTAGCTATTCTTTTTCCTGTGCCACGTAATAAATCAAGTCATCGTATAGTTAACACGCTTAACGCATCGTATTTCCTAAGCACTGTTACCGTGTGTAAACAATGTTGAGATATCTCGGTGACAAAAATACATCGGCAGATAACGGATTTAGTTATGTCAAAGATATCTGAAGGAACCGGATGCGTTTGCTTGCACCACGAAAAGCAAACTCACATTCCGAAAATAGATGGGATAAATAATTTTTTTTTAAACCGTGATACGAGACACCTTCCTAATAAGAATGGAAAAATCAGAATCACCGGCGCTTATTTACGAATCGTCGAAAATTCGTATTCTCAGGAGAATCGGATTTTTCGAAGTCAGATTTCGCGGACGACTGCGGGATGATATTGAAGATTCGTTCGCAGATTTGCTGCTGAATATTTTTGCCTTTTGTATTTTGCAACAATCTCCAACGATTTTCACGGCTGTTTTGTAGCCGCGTGAAAGTATTGAGGGATTAAAGCATCTCCATCTAGAAAGCTTATCGTGGAGCGGTAATCCGCCTACCTGATATAAAGTCTAGCATAGCGTACAGCTGAAAGAGACGTTAAGAAGTGACACATATGATCGGAGAAGCGCAAGCAATATAGCGAAATATTGGCGAGTTGAGATATACCTATAAATAGCAGCCAGGATGTTGACGTTGAGTTCGGTGGAAATATGTCGAATTTAATGGAACGTTATATTTCATAAAATTAAATTATCGTTTTTTAATTAATAATTTAATTTATATGTTATCAGTATATTTTAAATAAGATACATGGTAAATTTTTAAATTTTAAACACGTAAAATCTTTCTTGCTTTTTAACGATTCAATCAAACGAAATCAACTCTATTAGATTAATTTACAGCCAAAAAATATTTTTCAATATTTTTCTCTCTATTTCATACATTTTGAAATTACAAATTCTAATTTTTGAGAATAATTCTCGACAAATATCATAAATTGTGCGAAGCTTTTAGCAAAGAGGCGTTCGCGAGCTTGTTGATTTCAGAAAGCAGTCTTAGTCACTCGTCTTGTTATGGTACGCGTTACGCAACCAAGATATAAATCTGAATAGAGAGGCAAATGAGGCACACGGCCTTGGTGCAAGATGTCGATCGTGTGGCATTGCCGCCTTCTTTAATTGCACCTGTCGGTCCGCAAACTACAAACAATAAGGTATTCAACAACGTCATGTTTTATTCCGTTTTGTTTATCTTCCAGAATGTGGAGTTGCAAGAAGGAACCATTCCGCCGGATGCGATGGAACTCGAGGTTTCTCACTGTCGCGAGCTGAGAATACAAGCGGGCGCGTTCGGCAGCGGCGCGCCCCTAAAACGCGTGCATGTTTCGGGAATCTACAGCGTGGTCGCCAAAAGGCAAGCCTTTCAGAATCTCAGCGCACATAACACGCATCTCGAGGTGTCGGAGTGCAACAGCGTGTTTCTGGAAAGTCACGCCTTCCAGAACATGCGCGGCTCGCTGAGCGTCTCGATATCGCGATGCAAACACGTGGAGATAAAGCCGTGCACCTTTTCCTGGTTGCTGTGGATCATGATAAAGGAAGTGCCGTCCTTGGAACTGTCCAGTAACGCCTTTAAATTTGACCCCCCTCAACACGGGCACCATGGACCAGCGACCAAGGTGCGGATATCATGAATTATTCTCGATAGTTCGTCATTGCGCGTCGTATTGTTAAACGATGATCGCGTACATTTAAATTAAAAATTACACCTAATACTGATTAATATTAATATCTACGATATTCACATTCCAGTTGCATTGCGCTATTAATATCTGATAATCAATACGGATAAATTCGCGATATTATTTCGCGCAACGCAATATTCTATGTTTCGAATGTCGCTAAACAACTCAAAGACCAATTTGTACTCATGGGAGTACATATTGTTATTCGATTAAATTTCAAAGTTCAATAGATTAATGTTCAATAGAGTCCGACAAATTTAATCAGTTTCGAAACCATGTTTCTTGATACAGATAACGTTCCAAAACGTGAAGATCACGGAGCTACCCGAGGGGGTATTTCCTTCGGCTGTCGCGGAAATTCGTATGGACGACATCATTATGAAGATCATACGCAAGGACGCCTTCTGCGCCATGACCATTTACAGCGTGATTATCAGCAACACAACTATTAATGAGATCCAATCCGGCGCATTTAGCGACAGAGCTCTCATCCACAGTCTCGAGTTCGTCGATGTGCAACTTAATAACATCAACACAGCGGCGTTCAGAGCCGGTCACGACAATCTAACCATTCAGTATTCAAGGTTTGATACGAACTTATTTCAAACAATTCTCACTGCAATTACAGTACATATATTCACAGTTGATACAGAGAGAATCACGAATGTTTCTTTTATTGCTTTTATAAATGCAAAGATAAAACTATATTAAATTGCTTAAAAACAATTTCCTAGTGTTTTTTTTTTTATTTCTTTATCTTTGAAAAAAAATCTTAGATTTTATTCTTCAATTTCTAATATTTCTTTAGTGTATTTTAATTGCGTGTTTTAATGTTTTTTTGTTTTGTTGCATCTCTTTTCCTCGTTTAGTTTCTCCAAAGTGAACACTGGTGCCATCAACACATCAGCCGCGACCGTCACCTTCACCAAGAACGTGTTCCAACACTTGAGCCAGGGTTCCATTGTGCTGCACCAGTGGAATCACATTGCGATCGATGAAAATCTCTTTGTGGATCTAGAGAGCGACGCTATTAAAGCGGAAGTCGGCGTCGCTTCGGCGCCGAACTTCGAGTTCTCCTTCACGGGCAATCGAATACAAAAGGCCCGGCCAGGTTCGCTCAAGTTCGCGGCGATTTCGCAGAGCGTAAACTCGGCGCGCGTCGGCAATAATTACTTCCAGGAGAAGTGCAGCTGTAACCTCGAGGACTGGGTGCGCGAATTGACGGGACGTAACAGCTCCGTCTCGTGGATGATGGATTCCAGCTACTGCGAGGTCGACGAGTTCCTGAAGAAGTGCTTGAATCTGCGCGAGGGTTTCATAGCCATGCGAAATTTCACGGAGCTCATCTGCTCGCAGCGGCATCATATTAATTGCGAAAAACCATCGCCGAAACCGGAACCAAGTGTCAATCCGCCCAGCGTGGGTCCTCACATCTATCCAAGACCGAAGGGCTACTTCGACATCGAAAACGAATCGGAGCAGCTGGAGCGCGAGAAGAGAATCATCGTAATCGTCTGCGTCGTGGCGGTGTTCGTCGTCGTCGTGGTGATCTTAACTTCGGGGATTCTTTACATGCGCCGTCGTGGCGTGTGTCCTAAACTGACATCCAGCCCGATGATGAATCTGACGAGTTGGCTGTCATCCAGCAACGGCATGACCGCCGCGACGTCGGCCAGATCGATATCGAGGCTGAGCGTTCACGAGTACGCCGGTCTTCATTCGGAGACCAGAATTCTCGATGTGGAACCGCAGGTGGATGGCACGGATGACGACGAAGACGGTAATATGTATATTGAGGACAAAGCGACGCAAACGCTGCCGGAGGAATTGACGGAGGAATACCTGAGAGATCTCCGAGAGCAGCTGAACGATCCTGACAACTACAGCCAAGCGAGGGACATGATCGAGCATTTGTACGATCTGATTAAAGTCGAGGAGAGCTGCAACAACAACAACGACCGGCAACCGGCGAGCGATCGCGAGGAGAACGCGTACGACGTGATCCGGCCGCGAGTGAAGAAGTCGCGCGGCGCGACGAAGCCGTCCGTCAGCATCGGTACCAAAGCGCCGTCCTTGGAGGACCTGCTGGCGAGCGGGATACGAATCAGACCGCCAATTACCGAATACACGCAACCGCGCGATCAACGGACGAGCGATCAGAACCATCTGTACGCCGAATTGCCGGGCGACGAGACGATGCCCAGCACAAGTCGACTGTCGCAACCAATCTTGGAGAGCCTGATCGGAAGAGCGCCGCAGCCGTTGCCGCCAGACGTGGTGAACGATCATCTGGTCAACGGCAACGATCGCTCGCCGAGGAACGGCTACAGTTACCCCGAAAATTACAAATCGTCGCAGAGTCCGAAGCTCGATTCAAACTGCAGAAATCAATCCGCCAAGCCGATGAATTTCTTTAAGGAATTTCTTAATGGGAGCATCCTGGGCGCGAGCGGAAAGACGAATAACAAGAGGCCGAACTCGCTGCTGTGTGAATACGCTGAACCGTCCGACGTGACCGCCCATTTGTATTCGGAACCCCAGCAAACGTCCGCGTCCGGCAGCAAGATGGCGAACCGGCCACTGCCCACCAAGCCCGATCAGGATTCCGTCGCCAAGGCGTAGCAGCGCTCCATTATCTGTGATATAAGTGATTGCGTGTTGTCGAGAGTGAAAGACTAAAGTGTCCTTTTCTTCTCGCTGGCTGTATGAAGAAAGTGTCCGCGCTACATGTGCGTGTGTGTCGCCGGAACGATTGCGTAAGAGAGTTTGCGTCAGGCGAGTCACGTGGGGGTGAGAGACCGTGTATGCCTGTGCCATAATAGCAGAGGAAATACGTCGGAAATTAGTGCAATTCATGCGTATACAAGGCTCGGCTGAGCTAGGTGTCGCGGAACGAAGTGTCCTTACTTTCAAATTGCGGGTGTATGAATGAACCGTTGTTAGAACAATCGCGCACACGGCCAATGGTGTCATTCGAACGATTTCGTTTTTCGCGATAGAACGAGTCGCGTCGAAAAACGACCAAAGCTACGCTTACGCGAAGGTACCGCAACGAGTGTGCCAAAATTAGTGTATTTCGCGTATACGACTGTACATTCGCGCTCGTAATGCAACAATGATTCAACGGATCTATCTATCCACACGTCTGAATCATCGAAAAATACCGCGAGAGAAAGGATTTATTTATGATTATTTGCGAAAAGTGGACCTATATGCATTTGCTTTGTCAAGTATTAAAATAAGTATTTTACATCCGACATACGAGAAATTAATCAATACCACAATTCCGTTTTAAAGTTTTAGTGATTTAGAATTCGACGTGCCGAAATATACAAATTCGAAGCCTGTTTCTTTCATATATTTTTTAAACTAATTTTTTAATAATTTAATAATTAAATCTTGATTAAATTATTAAAAAATTTTCCATTGACGCAATTTTATTTTTCCAATATTCATAAGAAATTTATACAAATGTATACATATTTCCTACAGCGATCGACTTGTTTCAAGCAATAAAAAAAGTTGACACAGAAACATAGAGTATTTCTTTCCGTTTCCGCAATCAATCCGTTTGAATGGGCAATAAAACACCGTACAGGTCCAATAATCAGATCTCCCTCCGGCTGCTCTCCAACAAGTATCTCTCACTTCAGATAACGCGCGCCGATGTCCGAGGAGAGCGTATTCCAATTCACGGAGCACTTATTTGTAAGTTCACCGAGCGTATCGATTTCTCCTATCTAAATCTCTCATGTTCAAAGCGCTCCATACCGTCGTTGTCTTATCTCGCAGAATTTTACGATTCAAGTACTTCCCTCTAAACGCGACCTCCCGCTCACTTCTCGAGTACGCTTTCGGGTTCAGGGGTCGTCACGGTTACTCGTTCTTTTTTTCGCCAAACGAGTGTGCAGTGGTGCTTCTCGTCGAAGGAAGTACACCATCCTGGGACCGCAAACCCGGCGATTCGCTTCGAAACGTTCCGACGAAAGCGAAAAGATATTCTTAATCCCTCTCGGAGCGCGCAGTCAGTCGATGTATATCCACGGCGAGACCAAACTATTTCATGAAGAATGTAAGAGGAACAAATAGACGCGACTAGCGGACGGGGCGGGCTGCGACGCAGCTGTTGACGTCTAAACGGCCGCCGCTTCTACGGACGGTAAAACCCAGAGAATACTCCGGTCGGCGAGCAAGGGAGTCGAGCAACAAAGACGCTCAGACATGATAGAAAAAGTCCGCGTAAAAGGGTTGTCGATGGAATACGTTTCTCTGTGACGACAATCAATTTTCTTAATTTCGCGCCTCACTCGATGCTCTCTTTTCTTTTGTATTCTTTGACGTATCTCAACCGAGGTGTAAACTTATAGAGTGCATTCCCGCTCTTCTCGCTAATTCGTAGTAGATTTTTCTTCTAGCGCGAATTTAATCTAAGACCTAATTATAATGCTATTTAACGTTGAAAATTAAAGCGCACCGGCAAATTAAACGTCAAGAGCATAAAATGAATGATGGGATCTTACTTTTCAATTAACTTAGAACTATATGTTTTACCTCGGTAAAAATTCAATTTACCACAAGTTGCTGAGTAATTAAATATTAAACAATACGCTAATAAATAGTTTTTGATTAAATAGATCAATTATATTCTTATTTAATAATTTATATATGCTTTCTAGAATAAATTTTTTTCGTCGATGTGCATTTTTCTGAGAATACACGTTATACTAAATTATCTATTGCAGCTGTGATAAGCCACATAAATCATACCTAATTCTGAGAATTTTTAACATTTCTGTTAAGATAAAGAACAATATACTTCGTGCTAATATTTGTACACGATTGCGTCACTGTATTTTTCATTATGACATGCAGACAAAGCATGACAAAATTTTCTAAATATTGAAAAAAATCTTAAAATCTATTATAATTAAAAGTAAAAAAAAACAATCAAAAATTTTAACAATTAAAATAAAACAAAAAAAAGTAATATTTAATACACGTAAATATCCGATACGCGCGAATATTTGCGAATAGTTGAATATTATCTTATCTGAGCGAACACACACACACAAAGAATAAAATTTTTTTACGTCTATTTTAAGTCTTTTACCGAAGTCACGATTTTTCGCGCGTTTTATCACACGGTACTTTGTCGACAGGTTAAAGAGCGATATCAAGGCGTGTGCTATACGAAGCAGAGCGGCCCGCCCGCTATCGTGCACCGATTCGTAGGATTGTTTATGGGCGAGCATTTTTCAGATAAGAGTGTCATTTTTCTCGAGACTGGCTGCTCGTCGTGGAAAGTCAAGAGAGATGGCCGAACGAGTTTTCAACTAGATGCAATTTGTTGCTTTCTCTTCCAACTTCGACCCGCTTCGAGCAGACAATGTCAGGCACGAATTTATGGATACTTATATATTATTTAATTTATGGCCGTACATGTATGTAAATAACCGTATTCGTCCCGGAGAAAATACACAAACGTGCTGACAAATATCTCTGGAAATGTAGACATATAAGAGCTGCTTCGACAAAATATAAAAAAAATAATGCAAAATTTATCTCTGAACTTCATTCAAAATTATTACAACTAATTTCGTTCAAAATGCAATTTTTTTTAAAAGATTTAATCGACACACCTAAATAACCGCACAATAGTATGTTGTACTATAAAAATATATTAATCGAGAGCTCAAAGTATATCTCTACGTATTCGTGGCGATAAAAATTGAGTTCGTCGAGAATTATAGAGCTTGTAATTTTTTATTTTCTCAAAATCGAATTCGGACCTCGTAGATAACGATAGATTGTCTCGAAGCGTCGAAGAGTAGAATAGGTGTCCGAGGCGGAAGTGGATGAGATCACGGCTGCTGTGATCCAACGTGCTCTCGCGCGGGAGAACATAATCCGCCAAGCCAGACCGGCCAAGCAGCAGGCAGCTCTATCAGGTTTCATCAGCGGGCCAATCATCTCATCACTCGGATGGCCGTACTAGCATCCGATTCGCCATGCTCTAACCCGTTTCTCTGGCCCCTGACCTAATCCCTTGTCGAGATACCGGGAAAATCGATCGAGGATCGCCCGCGGACATCTCGCTTGGCGGCTGGCACGACTGGGTTATCGAAGTACCAAAATCATGGGCCGATCTGGGGCTTACCCTAAGCCGGAGCTTAGATCGTAAATGGATTTTCCATCTCGCGACTCTCCCTAGTCGACGGAGTCGACGAAAACAGCTTACGCTTACGGTATAACGTGTCAAACTATTGTAATTACCACGAAACTCCGCAACGCAAATTAGAAGGAATGATACCGGTCAGCACATGCGGCAGGAGAAGCAATCCGAACTCGTATTTGTCAGTGACGTTCGTATTAAATTTATCAATGACATAATGTTAAATCTCGCTCTAAGTGTACAGCCGGAAATTCGCCGGCGTTAATTAGCAGACGACATTGCAACCTAGTTGCGATTATTTATCGCAGCTGCAAACGGAGAAAAATTTTCTTCTTCGATTAAAACGAATAAATACGGGCTGAATGAGTCAATATGTACGTTAGCGTGTCGTTTAAACACATCGTTTAAATGTGAAACACGCTTTGTTTATTTGGATATTACTGACATGTTGCAACAGAGATATATTTCCAAATGCGCATGTAAAATAATATTACTCCCTTTTGATCGATCGAAAGGAACCGTGCTTCGTCCATGTTTTGCTGTGACGATATACCGGGTGGCGTGTCCCTAATATACGCCGTCTGCTTCTTACGATCCGGTGTGTCACCTGTCGCAACGATATTGCGTCCGGAGATCTAATGGACCTTTAAACCAAACGTCTCTCTCTACATAAGCTAACCCGTGTCATCGACCTCTCCTCGAGAACGAGATATTTCTCGAACAAATTTTTCGCAGAAAACGAGGTAATTTAATACAGAAACAAAATAAATTGTGAAATATGGACTGTTGTAAATTTGCGAAATTAATATCTAATAATTCCGCGCAAAAATAAAAATATTTGCCTTCACAATCGTCTTTCTCGATATCGTATGTATGTATGTATCTTCATACTTCTTTACATCAAATGTATTTTTGTATAGAAAAAAATGTATGTCGTAAAGTCACTTGTAACGATTCGAGTAAAATATAAAAATATAACTTACATAATATGATATTGTCATTTTTCATTTTTTGAAAAATTATTAGACGATTATCCGCGGCCAATCCCTATTGAATGGCGGCATCGAAAGAGGATCGGTGGCGCACAGAGGGCTGTTTTCGCCCCTTTCGGATATTCATGGAACGTCGAATAAATCCTTAAATATTTTAAGGATTTACTGGAAAACCATGGACGCATACTTATCATTCTAAGAAGCTTTTCCAGGCGTTGCCCCGCGACCCGAACAGTTTCGATACGACCAGCCGAACAGAGTGCATCCGTGAAGCCGTGAAGGTTTGCTAGTCACGTGTTGAATCTCGAGGTCTCCCGTGCATAAGCGAGAAAAACGAAAACAGCAAAGACAAGAAACAGGATGTCGCGTTAGACGCTGTGAATGCATATACTCGCGCGCGGCGCCCCGCGCGAAAACCATCGTCGCGATAATTATAAATATGAACCAGAAAGTGCATTCCGTTCGAAGCGCTTCGTGCTCTGGAAATAATGCGATCCACTGGCCGCGCGTAAATTCGCGTCAAGATATTGCTTAAGAAACGAAGAATAATATTGCGCTGCTACTCCAGAGACGGTGATATACAAATTTAAGATCCTTTTGGATTTGAATAAAGACATAAAGATGATCGACAACTGTGTGATATAAATATATGAAGAAATCATTATATTTGCAATTTATTATAAATCATAAAAAAGCTTCTTTTACTTTATTCATCAATTGTTAAATGTATCGAAATGTTCTAGCAAAGTAAAAGCGCTCTTAGTTAAAAGTGACGAGCAATCGAATTTCATCGATGTGAACGATTCTTCAATTCTAAGATAACGCATAGAAAAACTTCATATAAAGATTTCTTCATTGCAATTTGCTGCAAGCGGTTGCACTTTGCACACAGCATATCGCGCAAGCAGCTTCGTAGTCTGGTAGTCTCGCGTTTCTCTTCCCCATTGAAATCTAAATATACCCCATGATATTAATAGCGTATGGTGCGGCGGTGGCAGAAGGAATCGTTTCATACGCCCATGATGCCGGTCCTCAGTGCCGAAAAGAGCGCATTCTGCCGAAGCTATGTGCAAACCGGCCAACAATGCGATTCTGCGAGTTCTGTGAAAGCGCAATGTATGCGTCAAGTGCAACGATTGTTCGAACCACCTCCATAATTGAGTGGTCCACTCCAAAAAGAGCGTATAAAAAAAGGGAGATCTAATCATTTAAAACGCTGTACAAAATATGCATGGTGGTACAAAAATAAAAATTAAAAAATAAATCTTTGAAATTGTATACAGAGAAATAAATAAAATGTATGTTTGATATTTTGCATTTTAATTCAAATAAAATTAAAGATGGTTTCGCTTATGCATCTCGTAA